AGGATGTACACAGTGCGCAGTTTGTAAACCTTGAATTCCAGGGTAACAGTCACTAGGTTTCAAAATTATTCGGCAATTTAGATACTATTTAAAACCGAAAGATACCCTTTCTTTAAGTATAAAACTTAAAGAAGGCTTAATTTGCTACCAAACGAGTACAAGAGATAATTTTTTCGCGCATATTTTCCAAAAATATATTTGAATCTATAGAGGCAGTCAAAATTTATGACAAAAAGGCATGCTACTTAAGTAATTACTTTTTGTAGTACATACTTTTTCTTGGTGGTCAGAAAAAAGCTCGTTAAAATGCCAGCATCCTGATATGCCCAGAAAATGTTGAGATTAGGCTGTACAATTGTCTCTATTACAACCATCCGCAATTAATATGTTCCAGTCGAAAACTTTTTTCAGAATTCCGGATGACATTTAATGAGATAAGGAATCTACTGTATAGTCTATTTCAATGGCTTAGTGTCCACCGAAGGTTTCGAGATACCAAGTAATGAACTAATTCTTTCACAGCGCTGTGATTCCCTTCTACAAGCTAACTCTCTTCAGATTTTTTATCTGTTTTCTATATCCGTTCTTAGTTATTTTTTTTACCACTAAGCTTCTTTTGGATCTTGTTGGATTAGGTTCACATGTACAAGATTAAAGAGAAGAAGTGGATAACAGTGGAGACAGAGGGATGTGCACCGTCGCCTCGGATGGGCCACTTAATGCTCTACCAGGCCTCTGATCCACGTTCCGAAGCGAATAGAGCGTCTGATGTCTCCTCATTCTTCGTGCATGGTGGGATGGCGGGAGAGAAATTCTTCGACGACTTTTACCGTTTGGAGCTTCATCGGGTAGGTAGTGGATTCACCAATCTCTCTTTTGTCTTTCCTGTCTAATACACCCGCTTATATAACATATTTGTGTGTAGTTTGTGAACATTAAGATAATAATATTAATAATAAGCCAACGGACCAATTAAGGATCTGTCCATTGTCGTTAATTGCTCATGTACAGTCAAGAAGAACGTTCGTAAAGCCTAGCACTTCTAAATATTTTGCAGTTTTTGGTTTGTTTGAGCGTTGGGAACTTGAAAGCAGTTATGCTGATCAACTGAGTATAGATTGTGTGATCGATGATAAGTATAACCACGCGCTCCCGTTTAGTTCTGTTGAATCCCCTCGGGCATTGATGGGGCAAGGCAGAATCTGTACCAACGTTTTTCATGTAGACCATTCGTCCTGGAATGATGATTAGAAGGATCGGTGAGGATCCGAGGAACCGGCGTAATTTAGGTAAACAATTATAATGACTACTTATTAAATCTGCGTAGTTTATCGAGTTTGGTGATAGAAAGTAGATCGGTTAGGTCAGACGTTAGATGTACCGAATGAATGAGAAGGTTCGCGATCCAGGTAATTGTATGGACGAGGAAGAA